TAAGTATATTTTGAGTTTTTTAAAACAAGGGCGCGCTTTCCTTAATTATAGTCTGTCCATTATTTTCAGTGTACTACAAATAAGCTTAAAGAAAAAAATGCTGCTTTACGCACTGTAACTAAAGTTTCGATAAAAAGTGATAGTAGAGGAAGCTTTAAGTTGTACAATTTTAAAAGCTTCATTTGAATGTGCCTTTCACCACTTCCGGAAAAAATTGTGAATACAAAACAGAAACTTCACTCTCAACTCTCCTAAATCGGTGCTTCTGAAAACACACCGCCATGAGCCAGAACATCCGCACCAATACGGAACCGCCGAGATTCCTTAGGGAAGAAAAAGGCCAGAACGAAGGCACACAGCAGGTGCAACCGCGCTCAACTAAGACACAAAAAGTCCAGAGGCTAAATCCTCTCACAAAAGTGGGCATGGAACACCCTGTAATGAACCCATCAGCCAGCGAACACCGTCTGGTGAGCTTGGCACGCATGAGCAGTGGATCAGCTTGGTGATCTGCAGTGACACCAAGGAATTCAAGAGACCATACCATTCAAGGTGTAACAGGACATTCGGTGGATAAAGTCAATCACTCCAGACGCCGGCATCGAATCGTACGGCAAATTCGTGGAGCTTTACAACCTTTTAATGGCTGCTTTGAAACATTTCCGAAATGGGTTGTGCTTGGAGCTGTCACACGCAAACTTGTAGCAATGAAAGGACTCGGAATCACCTAGCTAAGCTACAAAGGTATCCATACCAAGATTTTCGCTCTCGTCGCAGGTCGACAAACTACAATCATTTCTATAAAAGAAAAGATATTAAGAATTTTTTTTTAATTACCACATTAAATGGCATATTTAGCGACAATTTTGTGATAACTTAAAGCTATCGGTACTCGAAACCTTTGGTGTGCCACTTACTTTCTTGTTATTAATAATCAATCTAAACCATGTTGAAAGTATACTTTTCTTTTTCCTCAAAGAAATTTGCCATTAAATAACCTTGAATAAAAGAGAAATGCTAATGCCAAAAGTAGGTATGATTTGCAAAGCTTTGAATTGAATCCATAACAGATGTGTATTGCTAAGGGCAAGGATTACGTAACAGTGCATAATGCTATGCAAATGTATGCAATATAAGTATACAGGTAAATATACAAAAAACATTTAATCGCATTCAAATTTTTCTGAAGAACAATGAACTTAAGCCAATTTTTCGCAATGCGTGGCCCAACTACAAACATGCATACATACATATTTACATTAGACCGTACCAGAAAAAAAGTTCGCATACACCTTCGAATCCGAAGTATTTTCACAAGGCTATTTCGAAAAAAGAAATATTTTTTTTTTCGATGTTCTTGCTTCGAGCAGGCAATTTGGTTGTTCCTAAGTTCATTGACCTCGTTTTAGTACTTGCCTACACAGAGAAAATGATACAGGTTAAACGCAAGTTTTTAAAAGAAATTGTAAAATACAATTTTTTGATACAATTTTACTTAATGTAAAATTAAAAATATAGTATTTGTATTTACGACTTTAAAACGAAACAATCGCAAAACAAAAACTATCGTTATAGTATATTCACTTTTTTACGGAGGGGAACAAACGAAATTAAAAAAATAACGTCAAAAATGTGTATTTACAAAACTTTAATGAAAAATTTTATAATATTGTCCCAATGAGTTTTAGTGCGACACAATTTTCAACAAGTAAAATAAAACTATGTAGACACTTTCAAAATAAAAACGTTAATTTATTTTCAGTCAATTATGAAAAATATTTAAAACTATTTATAATTTAAAAAGCTACCTAGCTATAATGAAAAACATTTCATATGTTTGCATCATTTGTTGAAAAAATTGTGTTCAGATAAATAAGTTACTTCAATCTTCAGCAAAGGCGATGAAGTATATACAAACAATACCGCGATTCTAACCACCTACATAACTACATGAGAAGGGACATTGATGATACGGTGGACTTCTTTAACCGCAAAAAGCTTTGGTAAGAGTAAATGGTAACTAATAATTGAAAACTTTCTTATTTTAAATTACAGGATTTGACCAGCGTGAAATAAAATTGGCAGGCCCAGCTAGGAAGTATGTATATATGGTATATGTAAAACATCTGTATTTTATTTATTAAATTTTGTAACTTATTTATAAGTATATATCAATATATTTTTGTCACTGTACATACCAAATGACTTGTTGTGATTTAATAAAAATCTAATTTTAAAATCATATTTGAAAACGCATATTTTCAAAATGAAGAAAAAACATTTTAGGATTTAATTTCAACATGAGCATATTCAATTATCAAACGATTTTAAAATTTGCGTATTAAAACAAAAACATGGATTTTGGAAATTGAATTGAAAATTTTCGTTCTCAAAATTTAAATAAATATTGTAGGTGCAAAGCCTGGGTCAAAACGTTTTTAAAAGTAAAACGTTCCACACAAATTTGAAAACAAAAATTTCTCTGTGTACTAGGTCCCAGTTCTCATGACCCCAACGTACCACTCTAATGTCAATTGAAGCTTGCCAAAAACATTAAATTTTTGTTGAGGAAGCATTTAGAATCGAGGGCAATTTAGATTTTTTTCGCCATATCTTGGGCATTTATAGTCGGTTCTTACAGTATGATATATAGATGTTCTTGACTGAGATCTCAGTTCTTATCACCCTGCCGTACGACCCTAATGTTCATAACTTAAAGCTCACCAGGAATCATAAAACTTTTGCTAAGGAAGTATTTCGATTATTCCAGCAGAAAAATTTAAAACAAAAATTTGTTGTTGCCGAATGTAGGTGTCACCGAAAAATGGTCGGCCAAAAAAAAATTGTTTTTCCAAATTGCCTTGCAAAATTACTTAGACTCTGGAGTGTACGGCGATTTTTTTGTTTGTCTGCTTGGAAGGTGGCACGGTCTAATGTACAAATTCCATTTCTATACTTTTATCATTGATTAAATAACTTGCAAGTAATATTTACTGCTAATCAATTCAAAAAAATGCTTATTTGACGTCAATTTATAATGCAGATTAAGAGCCATTTAAGTTGCACAAGGAGTTTCCTCACTATAATAATCATCCAGCCTGCCAAAGTATCTGTATGAAATAATCCATTCCTCTCCGAAAAGGAATGATTTGCGAATTATACTTCCTAAGCAGAAGAGAAAGAAGTAGGTCGAATTTTGATCGATAGTCTATTGTGTCGACCTATGCTGGCCATAGACATCCTTGACAAGTGAGTGCGGATTGAAAAGTTGCGGTTGCAATTTGCATCAATTGGAAATCAATAACGCCCACTTTGGGAATTTAGAACATACCCCTTCAAATTGGAAATTTTTTGAGTGGACTCCGATATAAAAGTGTACCACTTCCCAACTAGCATAGCATCGTTACCTGTAACGAAGTCTTTGACTCAAAAAGAAATGAAATAAAAGTGAAAAGAAAAGTGGGCTAACAAGTAAATTACTGCACATGCTGAGACAGACACATCTGCATACATATCTATATACGTACATACATACCTCACCTTCAAAAACAAAGCCCTGAAAGTTGCACAACTCCTCAGGCAGCCAGGAGGCATGCCACGATGATATACTTGGATGGAGGTAAAGTGGCGGTTAACACAAAAGTCTCAAACAAGATTTGCATTATTTTTTGTTTAGTTTTCCATAAATGTGTTTGTACATACAAACATATGTATGTAATACATTTAATATCTATGTAAAGATACTATGTATCCATCCCTGAATGCCATGAAGGAGGTGAGAATGCAAAACTTCAGACAGGGAATCAATTTCATGTTTTCAAAGACACGCAACAGTAGCAAATTAAACTAAATAAACAACAACAAGAAAGCCAAGCTCTACATCCAAATCAACGTGTATGGAGTACCCTAATGAATGCACGTGCATTTCGCTTTTGACAAGCAAGGCTGTAGGAGCAGACGGCGGTGAGTCGCTACGTACACCTTCTGACAGCAACAGCAGGAGGTTTCGGCAAAATGATTGTATTTTAATATAAACAACAAAGCAACAAAATACCGCCGAACACATTGAGACAATGCGCCTCCTTCACCCACATATGTGGGTCCTTCGGAGTGGAGGCAAGGCAAGGCAAGGGTTTTTGGAGTTACGCGAAATACAATTGCATACATATTTGTTGCGACGACATGTACATGCAGCATTTCATTTTCGCATTCACTCTCTATCGCGCTGCTCAACTAAATAGTTACTACTCGTCGGTCGGTTACTTAATAATAATAAAGTAAAACCTTTTTTCGAATTGAGTTGCTCGCGTATTTATGCTACAAATTGGAATTCCTAAAGACTTTGGCGCATTCCTTTACATAATCATCCTTTCGCTTTATTTAACGGTACTAAGTACGGTAGCGAAAATTCCAACGTATCGAAATACATAAATTTATAGTCGCGAAGCTAGTTAACAGCAAATAAATGTCGTCGCTGGATGATTTGAATCAGTCCTTTTGTGGCAGTCAAAGTGAAATGAACATTTGGAAGGGAAAATTGCTGACGGATGTGCCATTCGGGCATGTCCTCATAGTGAGCGGCAAAGTGAAACCGAATCCGAATAAGTAAATATCGCACATTTTCGAGCATATTTTATTTGCGGATTTTTATATATTTTTCCTATTGTTTTTATTGTTAGAATTTGCTTGGACTTAACCGATAATATTAGGGGTCAAAATGAGAGTGAAACAGTTTACTTGAAAATTGAGGCGAATTTTAGAGAAAATCAAATAATAAGAAGCATGTTTATGCCCGGCGAAGGTTGGCAGCAGGAGGAGATATCGAAGAATTGGAAATCTGATGGACCGAAAAATCCATTGGTGCCAGGTAAGAACTTGTAATACCTAATACTGCATATTGATATGACTACAAGTGAGGGTCTACGGAGCGTATGAGTTACGTATCAGTTGCATGGCAATGTTGATAACACTGACCAACAAAATGTTGCGGCAGAGATTTTAAGCGCTGATTCCTGTAGGATTTTTTCCGCAGATTAAAAATCAGGACAGATTAAGTTATTTAATGGTTTTTTTTCGAAATATTTGGAATTAAAAGTATCAACAAACGCGATTTTCCCATTTTCTGAACTTTCGTTGTAGAATAACGATGCAATTTGACCTTATCTTTATTTCCACTATATCGCTCCGGTCTCTAAAGTTTTCGGCACCAATGAGTCTCAGTCTCATCTAGTCCCAAGTAATTCCGACTACTCCTGTTCTCCGCAGATCTTGCAGAAGTCATTAAAAGGTAAAGTCTCCCCGCTTGTCTCTCCAAAAGTGATGTTATTTGTCAGCAGACTCTTCTCTGCTCAGCGGAAGGAGCTCCCCTTATGTTTCAAATCCCATTCTGGCCACATGAATTTTGTCGTGTTACAGGTATCTAAGTGTTTCCATCTTGAACCTGTTCCAGAGAAGAATAATACTTGTATACTGAGCTTGCAGCTGGCGAGCGGTATGCACAACCTCTACCAAGATTGCGAAAATGGAAGGAAAGTGCGTCTCCTTGCAAGTTCGTCCGCCATCTTACATTCGCATTCGGATATCCGAAAAACAAAATTAACGGATACTAACCTAAAAGGCTATTCCAGTTAAAACGTTTACGTGCGTGTCAGATTGCACGAAGCATGCCACATATGTATGTATGTGTGTAGATCGTTCTAGCGATGAGTGAAACGAAAAGATGGCCAACTCTTATTTTTTTCGCGCGTTGACAGTCAGCTTGTTTAATTTTTTTATTCCGTTCCAATTCAAACCTTCATGCAGAAATATAAAACATAAGCACATTGCTAATATCTTTAAAACTAAATATACAGGGTGTCCCAGACCACCCGTCCACCTCCTCTAAAATGGACGGAAATGTTTTTTATTGGAAACCGAAAAAATTGTACCTACTAATTTGGGGATGCTCTCTCTTTCGGTGGTATTGCCGACTTCCGTTTTCGACCGGAAGTGGCTTAAACTCACCGGAAGTCAATTTTTTTCAAAATAAATATACACACAAGTTGATCAGACATACTGTTAGTCAAAATTTATTTGAATTGACAGCTGTGACGCAGGCTGCACGCAACTTGATAGTCAATTTTACTTTCAAGATGCCGTCGTCAGGACAACATCTTAAAATTCTCGCTTGGTACCTTCAGTTATATCTCCCTGGCTATTTTTGACTAAATACCGAAGTATCGGAGCAGACTAACTGTGATCAGCTGTTTGACTTGACTTTCAAGTGGACTCACGAATTGAATGAAAAAATTGATATCAAGTCGATGCTAAAGTTGTTAAAGTGCGAGTTTATTGCAACTTGCTTACAAGTTCTTGATACGTGTAAACTAGGTTTTAGAAAACGGCATTAACACCAATAATAATGCCAGCCTTGAAATCAAACGGAGAATCACTCTTGCCAACAAGTGCTACTTAGTACCGAGTAGGCAATACAGAAGTAAAGTCCTCCCTCGCCATACAAAAATTATATAGGTTAACTTTAGTAACTCTTCATGCCCGTGCTGGTATATGGCGCAGAAGCATGGGTCCTTGGATTAATCGAGAGAAAGATTTTGTGGAAGAACTACTTGCCTTCACTTGTCATTTCCACTTGGTGTCAGTGGGCACTGAAAAAAACAACGGCTAGGTTGTGCAGTGCCCATCAAGAAGAAGACAAAAAGAGTGTCTGAGAAAATATAGATATTATAGTACCCGATTGCCGCCCTGTTCTCAAACACTCTAGGCTGTTTCAATTTCTTACGGTAGCGAAGCTTTGACTGTCACATGTCGCTCTCGAGTCGAGATGATTTTAGACAATTATGTATGTAGGTACATTCGAATTCAATTCAGATCGTTCCTTAAGGTTGAATATTACAGTATAAATAGCGCGTGCTCTCTAATTATCGCCTAATTGATAACTAACCAATGTTTGCTGGGTAATAATGTGGGCGGCCTGGGGTTCGTCGTATTGGAAGGCAATGTCTTTACTGCATCTAATCAAATATACTCAGGGCCCAAGTCATTCCTCCAGATCCTCATATATTGTATATATGTATGTTTTTTTGTATATGTATTTTAATACTTTTAACCAACACGATGGTTGAGTCGTGATTATGAAATTGTCCGCTCGTGCTAATAACCTCGATTGACAAATTTTTAGTAACAAAATTTAGACTGATTGTAATTAAGAATATGCATACATACTTATTTGTATACGTACATGCATACTTGTAATATTGAAACAATACAGTCGCAAACCGTTTTCGTGTGGCTGAACCTATTAACTGGATAATGCACATAAGTATCTATGAAATTAATAAATAACTCACGTTTTATGACTTTAGTTTCTATGAGTTACAATTTAAATTTTTCCTAACTTTTGTGTACTTCTTTAGGTCAAACATTCACATTTCGTATTGCTGTTCTGCAAAAATGTTTCGAAATTTACATAAATGATAATCTTTATGGAGCCTTCGAATTTTTAAAATTTCCCAAGCCGATCAATTTCGTAATGGTTTATGGTGACTTTGAGAAAATCACACAATTCCATCAGCGCATGCTATTTCCGTTGGTGTTTCCGAGAAGTTTGATTTGCCCGGAGAAAATTGCATTTCAAAGTGATGTACCGAAGAAATACGAAGTTGGTAAGAAATGGAGGAATTCAATATGCAAGAAATTTACAAAAAGCAATACTTAAGTTACTAAATTATTTAAAGTTTCTTTTTAATTTTAATTTTATAAAATTTTACGAGTAAGTGCCGCCCCATTCACCTAGAATTTCATTTTCGTTGCAACAGGTACCGTTGTCGCTATGGAGTGCATTGCTAAAGGACCACCGACCACAGCCTTTTCCATTTGTTTCCAGTGCAATGATACGGGCCGTATTGTGCTTAAGTTTCATGTGAATTTCGATACAACAACAGTGTCGCGCACTTATGAGCGCTCCGACAATAGGCAAGCGTCTTTTCGCTATACATACATATTTTCTGTTTGATTATAATTGCAATTAGAAATTATTATTTTTACATTTTCTTTTTTTTTTTTTAGTTTTTCATCCGAAGATGAGGAAACCGATGGCGAATTTCCATTTCAACGTAGCAAACTCTTCAAAATCGCATTCGGCATCGGCGACAAAGCATTTATCATTGCTGTGAATGGCCAGTACTTTACCTACTATAATTATCCGATTCGCTCATTTTCCATATCGACGCTGAAGTGTTTCACGAATAAAGTTGGCGATTTTGCTGTGAAAAATTTGGAATACCATTGCGATTCGCCATTATTGGCGCGTGTCGAAAAACTGTCACTCATTTAATTGGAATGGAAAAATAAATTATGAAAGATACTCGCATTATGTAGCAAGTTGTTATATGTATGTAGGTATACCTGTAGATTAGGGTGGGTAATTTTTTTTTTGTCAAAAGGCGTATAGCAAAAAATAAAAATCTACGAAGAATTCTAAGAAAACTTCCGCAAGAAACTACGGGTCTAAAATAAAAACCTATCTCCCGCCGAGAGACATTAAAATATATGCAGTGGTTTTAAAATACCTCAAACTGAAATCTTCATGCCTCTCGGCGCGGGCTAAGTTTTAATTTTCGACCCCTAGTTTCTTTGGGTAATTTTCTTAGAATTTAGCGAAGTATTCGATTTTGCTATACACATTTCGCATTTTTTCTCACCCGAACAATTTGACCCATCCTAATATACATACATGCACACTTATATGCATGTGTTTAAAAATCAGTAGGGGCACTAAATTATCAAGTCACATCTAGTAGTTATAAGTTAACCTAAAATATTTAATTAAATAATAAAATAGAAGTGTTAAATAATAAAACATCAAATTAAATATTACATACAAACATGGATGGATGCTTAAATTTTGTAATATATATACAGGTTGTCCGGCCGGTGTTCGACCGGTCCGGAAGACGGTAATGCCATAAAAATGTAGAGCATCCCCGATTTGGTAGGTCATCTTTTGCGTTATTCAATAAAAAACATTTCCCTTCAATTTTAGGGTGGTCTAGGACACCCTGTATATTTATTTCATAAAAACGAAGGTGCTAATTGAAACTGCCCTCTTTAAAAAATCCACACCTATTGGAAAATGGGACTACATATAGAACAACAGTACCGTAAAGTTTCACGTTTTTTAACATAAGCGCACTCGTAAGGTTTTCGGTTAGCTTAGATCAACCGGCTGATTGCACTGGACCACAAATTTCAACTTTTTCTCTTTACCAGAAACGCCGTTATGAAATTCTTATGTAAAATCACCCCCTGATTCCGAAAATCAAGGTTATTTTTAATTCTATGGTACCGTTTTTGAGATATTTGCAATTTACCGTTTTTGCAAAAAAAAAAAAAATTGGGTCCATTTTATCATATATATCTCAAGAACGAATTAAGCAATTCCAAAACGGTTTGAAGCTTTTAAAAGGTAATAAAATTTTCTATAAACTGTGCATACAACACTTTTTGCTAGGCCCTGTAGATTCAAAGATAACGAACAATCATTACCGATTTTTTCAATTTTTTTTGTAAAAATATAAAAAAAATTGTACTTTGCGGGGAAGGATCTCGAAAACCTTTTATTTTTTTGCAGATTTTTTTTTTCTCCCTAAGCTCTGTTGTATTACAAAAAAAATAACCTATCATCGAAGAAAATCGATGCAAAACTACGTAAGTTATAAGCGATCAAATAAAAATACCCAGGTTGCGCAACTTCAATGTATGTACCTATACATACATACATATATTAAAGGTATAAAGTGCAAGTGAGATATTATCCGGATAAACGAATAACACCATAACAATGATAACACTTTTTCTTTAAATAAATCAAATAGTACTTTTAATACTCGAATTGTAGGTAGAGTGGTTGCATCGAAAGGAAGAGTGGTTGGGTTCGAAACCTGCTGTAGGCATGTAGTTATAAACATGTATTTCCGTCAGTTATGGGTAAGTATGCAGGTAGATTTTCAAAATTATAAGACACAGAAAATTTCTAAAGCCTACATCTAAAACAGGTAGTATTTTCTTTTCCCGGCTTGTTATAAAAAGGAACCTTTCTGTCTAGGTAAGATTTGATTTTTTCAATTTTGTTCTTGTTCCGAGTATAAATATGAGTTAATGCGCTTTGAAACTTCATAACATCTTCAAGGCTCGCCGGAGATAGTTCAGTTCATAAGTCTAATTTCAAAACCGTGATTTATTAAAAAAAATAAAATAAGTAAAAGGACGCGAGAATTTGAGTGTAATAAGGATCCAGATATGTTCTGTTTCATGTGTGGCCAATATACTATCATAAGGCGACGACGAGTGTTCTCAGATCATATCAAAACTTTATACTCCAAGTATTTTGGAATTGAGCCTAAAAATGCTGAAAAACCATGGACACCGAACACTTTGTGTACATCGTGTCGAGTACAATTGATTCAGTGGGAATCAGGACAACAAACAAAATTTGATACACCAATGATATGGAGAGAACCTACTTGCCATTCAATAGAGTGTTATATTTGTCAAACAAAAGTACTTGGCGTTGAAAGATCAAGAGGAGTAACCTATGCTAGCTATGCTACAGTGACATTACCAGTACTACATTCAACGGCAGTTGCGGATCCAGTTCCATTGTCAACAGTAACATCTGAGTGCGGGGGATCAAGTTGTACTGAATTTCGCATGGAAAACGAAAGAAACGTTCTGTCACAAGCACAACTTAATGATTGGATAAGAGATTTGGAACTATCCAAGGAAAAGGCCGAGATCCACACTTCTCGTATGCAACAATTTAAATTTGTGTCATCCGATGTTAAGGTGACATCATGATAAAAACATAGCAAGGTAGAACCGTTCTCTCAATTTGTCGGCCATGATTTTTTTTTGAAGTTTGCCAACATTTTAAAATCATATAAAAGTGAAAATAAAAAATTGAAATTGTTCGAAATTGTTGTTGCTTGAGATTGAAAATGAAAATGTGTGTGTGAGTTTGTGAGTAAATTTAAAAATTAAATTGTTTGGAAACGTCAAGAATTTTAAAAGTGACTCTCAGCGGTTCTACCTTACTATATTTTTATCATGGGTGACATATAGTAGAACTCGTCACGAACCATTTTCCAAACACTATACCAAGAAAGACAGTATATGCTACTGCAACGACATCCCTGGTTTATTCAAAGAGTTTGGTCAAACATATGATTCAAAAGAGTGGCGATTGTTCATAGACGGCAATAAACTGAGTTTGAAGGCTGTATTATTGCATATTGGTAACAAAAAGCCTTCTATCCCGATTGCACATGCAGTAAATACAAAGGAAACCTACGAGGAAATGCAAAAAATACTCAAATTTATCAAATATGAAGAGCATGATTGGAAAATATGTTCTGATCTCAAAGTCGTTGCAATGCTATGCGGTCTACAAAGTGGCTACACCAAGCACTGCTGCTTCCTCTGCAAGTGGGATAGCCGAGCTCGTAAGGACCACTACGTCAGAAAGGATTGGCCGGAAAGAGTCGAGTTTACCGTTGGTGTGGATAACATCAAATACACCCCTCTTGTCAAGAAAGAGAAAATCATACTTCCACCCTTACACATCATGCTCGGTCTCATTAAAAACTTTGTTAAGGCTTTGGACAAAGAAGGCGAAGCATTCGACTATTTGAAAACAGTTTTTCCAGATATTTCTCAAGCCAAGATAAAGGAAGGTATTTTTGTTGGACCACAAATAAGAAAGTTGATCAACAATAATCAATTCAAAGGACTACTCTCATCAGTTGAGGCAGCAGCGTGGGAATCCTTTGAAAAGGTCGTTGCTTCTTTTCTCGGTAGACACAAAAGCCCTAACTACGAGCAGATAGTGAACGACCTAATCAATAATTATGCGAAAATGGGCGTAAATATGTCTTTAAAAATTCACTTTCTCCACTCACATTTGAGCTTTTTTCCGGCAAATCTTGGCGACGAAAGTGATGAACATGGCGAAAGGTTTCATCAGCAAATGAAATTAATTGAGAATCGATATCAAGGATTCTGGGACGTCGCAATGATGGGTGATTACTGCTGGTTTCTTATAAGAGAAACCGATCCTAAACTGAATAAGCGTCAAAGTAGAACACATAATTATTTCGACAACATAGTAAAATCAAATTAAGATAAAGATTGTTAGAATATAGTATAAACATAAATAAATTAAAAAAAAAAGTTAAAAATATGGGTAATTTCATTCATAAATTGAACTTTTAACTCAATAGAAACAGAGCATAGCTAGATATTTCACTCTTCTTTATACCATACATACGTTTTGAGGTATACGTTGAAATTGCGCAACCTGGGTATTTTTATTTGATCGCTTATAACTTACGTAGTTTTGCATCGATTTTCTTCGATGATACCTTATTTTTTTTTGTAATATAACAGAGCTTAGGGAGAAAAAAAAAATCTGCAAAAAAATAAAAGGTTTTCGAGATCCTTCCCCGCAAAGTACAATTTTTTTTATATTTTTACAAAAAAAAATTTAAAAAATCGGTAATGATTGTTCGTTATCTTTGAATCTACAGGGCCCAGCAAAAAGTGTTGTATGCACAGAAAATTTTATTACCTTTTAAAAGCTTCAAACCGTTTTGGAATTGCTTAATTCGTTCTTGAGATATATATGATTAAGTGGACCCAATTTTTTATTTTTTTGCAAAAACGGTAAATTGCAAATATCTCAAAAACGGTACCATAAAATTAAAAATAACCTTGATTTTCGGAATCAGGGGGTGATTTTACATACGAATTTCATAACGGCGTCTCTGGTAAATTTTGGCCGTCGACCAGTGTTGTTCGCGACTCATATGTTGATTAATTGGTCCATAAATTGCAGGACTCCCAAATGTTATAAACATGTACTTGATACGGCAAGACTTAGGAATAGAATAGATCTAGCCTGTTGCTGGGCCCCACCATAACGCCCGTTATCATGGAGCTGTCTGAAGCTGCCCCCGAGCCGCCCCGAAAATGCGCTTGCGCTGCCTCTCCACGAGTTAGGGAAGACGAAAGATTTCTTGTTTTTTTTTTTAAATTTAAAACAATCAGCTTGCCCATTCTAAAAGGGTCCCCACTCGAAACCGCTATCCTCACTCGGGCGTTGTAGTCACTATGGGATCCCATGGACAGAGAACGAAACCAAACAATAGCAAACGTATCGGTATCGTTTAGTTTCGCTCAATCAAGGTAACGAAACACAACCGATTCAAATCACTCGGAAACATTTTGCGAGCGGTAACTTTACTCTGCTAGCGTTCGCGGTAGCTATTTAACTCAAACAAAAACAATTTGCTAAGCACCAAAGGAATGGTTCCTTTTGTTTTGTGTATCGTGTTTTGCTTCGGGTTTGCTCAGGATGAGTACCTTTACCACAATCGAAACCATGCAAGTGAGCAAAAGAACAAACGATTCGTTTGGTTTGTGCTCGGCTGCCGTAACGTATCGTGTATTGTTAGCGCTCGGGAACATTATTAGTAAAAGAACACAAACTTTTCGTACTTGTTGTGGCAATGGATAGCCCGAAAGCGATTTCTGTAGGGTGTCTCACCCCTACATGCTCAGGTAACAGAATACAGCAACCACCAGCTCAAAGCGAACAAATCAAAAATGTTTTGGAAATTGGGGCAGTCCGTGAACGAATACAGGGTCAAGTCAGGGGAGATTTTTCACCTTTCTTTATCTGTTCTCCAACAGGGTAGGTTTAACGGTGACCAATTTGAGGGAAAAGGAGGAGATTGATAGCGAGAGGTGGAAAGGCATCACATCCGAAGACCAGCCATCGCAATGCACTGCACTACCCTTTATGCACCTAAAAATAAAAAATTTAGAGAGTTGCCATCTGTTTGAAAACTGCAGTTTAAGTAAATTTATAAGATAAAGGAACTATGGCAATATGGCTATCAAAAGAAAGAGGTTTAAGAAGGCTTTCAGCCGAAAATATTTTTGTGGACGTTGCCACAAGGTTGAAAATTTTAATTTAATTTAATCGATAAAATAAATTAAATATTGCAATAAGGGTATCAAACTGAAGAGGCTTAGGAAAGTTTACTTCCGAAAATATTTTTAGGTGCATTGCCATCTGTTTGAAAAATTTTAGTTAATTAAATTGATAAAATAAATGAAATATTACAATACGGGCATCAAACAACACAAAAATTGTTTTAAGGCGCCGTGAAGCACGACTGGTATTTGCTAGTATAAAAATAACAAATTATTAAAGCACATAATTTTGATGAGTTTGATTTCTTTTTATTTTAGTCCTTTTTTTTGTTATCATATTTTGGCATAATAAACTTAAATATTTCTACCATCGTAAGTATGAATATTTATGTAAGTATGTATACGTGGGTACGGGCATTTATTGCCTTTCGTATGTGTACAAATAAATGTATACATATATGTACGTAGGTTATACAATGTATATTATTGATCAAATGTTTTGTTAGATATATTACAAACATACGAGCCTTCCATTATTATTTGCATGTGTGTTTGTGTCGGGTACGATGAACGTCTACTGTTCCTTATTAATTTCGTTAAAATGTGGCAATTGTAATATAACTTTCAAACATTTTTTTGTTTAGGTATGAAAACTAGTCATATTTCTTAAGAGAATTTTTTACTTTTATTTTCATATGTATGTATTTGTATCTCTTAAGATTTTCCACATAGCACTACATAGTTTTGTATGTAATATTTTCGTGAGTAGACATATGTATGTTTGTTTGTATTTATTTTAGTTGTCCCATAGTATGCATAAGATTTAATTGTTTTGCATTTTCTTTATAAGTTTATTTTTACTTTATACTCGTATGCTACTACAAACATATTTATGTATATTATTAATCAATAAAAACATGCATAATTATCTATGTATACATACATACATATTTATGCCAGTGAATGCAAGTATGAAAATATTTTTATTTTAATATTTATCTTCAATAAAGTTTAGGGTTACGTCATATTACTTGTTTTTACTTGTATTAGTTTAGATAGTTTGAATGAAGAATACTTTTATGTTTTCCCCCAAAATTTCCCAACATGACTTCTTTATTTTGCTCTGTTGCTGGCTGCATGTCCTGTTTTTATGTTTCGATACATAGCATATCACATCAACTTTTCGTTTTTGCAACAAATATTTTTCACTGAGTTTTGGACTTAAAATAAACTCGGTATTTAATTCAAAAAGGGACGGTAAAATTTACTTATATTTATTACAATAAAATCATTTTACTGTTTTAATTTTCAACTTGATTACTCGCATTTTCCCAAATTTAGATACATAGTTATGATTTTTAATTTCATTTACCACTGGATTTTTTGTTGAGTTCTCTATAAAGTTAACAAGAAAACTTGAATTATGAAGGTATTCAATTACATTTAATTAAAAAAAATATTCAAACGGGCGTTTTCGAAAAACCTGTTTCATTGACTTTTGGAACTTCTCCAACAAAGTTTTACTTACAAAACATCAACTTTTTTAACAAAAAATGTTCAAGGTTTATAAGTAGTTTCTAATTCTTTATATTGTACATAAGTACTACATATATATTTAAGTATATACGTACATAGTTTGTAAAAGACGTATAAGTATGTATAGAGTATATGTATTGTATGTATGCATGTATGTAATATAAATAGCTTAGAACAAATGTAGATGAGTATCTATAATATTCGTTAGTTAATGTTAAGAGTTTTACTTCAACGTAATTCCATTGAATGGCTCGGTATGTGTACAAAAAGTGTTCAGGTGACTTGACATATATTTTTTATGGTTTTTATAGAATCTTTGAACTAATTAGATTGTTAATATAACTTGGTTTTTAACATTCAATTAAGTAAACAAATTTAACGTTTGATAATGATAGAATAGCCATTACTGTTGTTTCTGTGAAGTAAAATGTGTTGCATACTTTTAGGCGTTTCATAGATGTTTTAATTTTGGACGATGCACACGAAGTGAACTAATGTAAAAATCTTTTACCTCCGCCAATCACATAAATAAATACTTTGAGATCCAACTGTTCTATATAAAGTGTGACCTGAATCATCAGGAAACTAATTTTTCCCCGATTATTAAAACAATATTCATTCCTGCTACCAATCTGTTCACAAAACATCTTATGTTCGCAGCGCTTAAATACCTCAAGACGACACAGCCCAACTAATTCTCAGAGATTTTGTGATCAAGTTCGCCTTAAAGAAGCTTATGGACCATTCCTTGACTATGTTTAACCCTGCAAGATTGAACGTTGAATTTTAGATGGAATTTTGGTATTTTATAATCAAGAGTAAAAAGGAAGTGGAGGAATATTTCACAAACATAAATATTAAATTCCAGTAGTTAATTCCCACCAGCCACTAGCAAGGGTGAGACCAATTAAAATGTTAAGTAAAGAAGCTGCTTAGCGAACTACTTTCGGTTACGTAACCACAAAAATTTAAATTCGCACATTTAGAAGCTAAATAGATCCTTTGTTTCATTTGATATTTCTTTCATATATTTATCCTACATGCGCTGAAAATATTTAATAAGCATTGTTGTTGTTACAGCAGAAAAATTTCCCATAGTGTTTGGGAATGTTGCTGAAGTGACGGGACTCTTGGCCAGATATAAATCTGGGTCGTTCCGGTAAATGTGATAGCATTCTTTACGTCCACTGACCACACTTTCTATAAAACATAGGATCTTAGCAACACCAAAAAAAAAAAAAAACTATATTAATAACGAGCTTCCTGCTTCTATGGACGTTATTTCCTATGCAGTATGTATGTAAGTATTTGTGTACTAATTAGTTTTTTGTAGGTTTTTATTTGGTTTTTTAGTATTTTTTTTGTACCTACTTTAATTTGATTATTTATACAACATATTGCCTACAATAAAGGTTTTATTTTTGCAAGTATTATTAAATAATATCTTTAGCATAGTTATATATATAAATTACTTATTTAAATTATTAATATTATTATTACTTTTAACTAGGAATACAGCTGCACTTGCGCCAAGCCAAGCGTGTGCGCGTGTCTGCAGAGGACGTTGTGCAATACTGCTACAAATTTCCAAGCGTTCTAGCTCGCTGTTGTGATGTGTGGTTTTTGGCTAACTATATGTACGAGTATAAGTATGTGCATTTATGTATGCAGGCTTAGTTAAAATTGGTAATTTAAGCACCTTTATGCGGTGATCAACATATTCAACTGTTGCAGTGCGCTTCACAGCTTACAAAGTATTAACTGAATGCCACTTGAATATTTATAAATTAGAAAGAAAATCGCAATCAATTCAAATTCTTAGAAAGCAATAATTAAATTCTATAGCTGCCACTTAGTCATAGAAAAATGTAAGTTATCGCTTTATACTCAACTACTTATGGTGCATTTAATGTTTCTAACTCAAGATATTTTGTATTTTGCTAATTTCATTGTGCATTAATTAAATTTTGAAAATATAAAAAGTTGAGATGCATTCGTGCGTTCTCGAGCGTACAGCTGTTGTCGCAAACAGATTAATTTTTATTCTAAAAATATAAAGTGCACTTCAAAAGTGGCCTTTCTCTTGATTCTTGTTTGAATTGTATGTTTATTATGTAGTATGTATTTTTTGGAGCAAATGAGCATGGATATTGAGATTTATTTTTGTAGTTATCTTTTCTTATGTGCGGTTTGAACATTTTTGCAGCAGTGATTGTTAAAATCTTTAAGATTGTTCAATATGTTTTAAATAAGTAGATCATTTATTTTTTTGGTTTTCATTTGAATGCAATTGACGGAGTATACAATACATATGTATGTAGGTGCTAAACAATTTTGTGTAGTATTTTAAATATCCAGGGCGTATGCTTTGTATAGCCATTCTAAAAGCAAATCATTCGGATTCGAGTACTCGGCACTATGAATTTGTATTAGTCTGTGTCTGCTTTCGAATCGCATTGAGTTTCAAATCGCAATACAGAGAAGATGCTCAGTATTTCAGTTTACCTTGATTCAAACGTTCAATCTTGCAGGGTTAAACTTAGTTTGAAAATTTCAAGGAATTTAAAGGTCGCTGAAAATCTCATCTAATTACTATTAGAGAAAATAATATCGACTCAACGCCACTACTGTGCTGGGACTCAATCATTCCAATTTGACGCACTCATTTAATTTCCCCAATTATGCTCATTTGTTCCAAACTAAACCTAAGGTAGACAAACATAGGTAGCTGTGTGCAAAACAAATAATTTAATACTCAGTATATTTTAGGTAAGTATAAGTTAAACCTGACGGCTGCCTTGGTTTGCTTTGGGCGTACTTTATCCCCTCCGAGGGAGTAAAGTTGGCATCATTCTGCACGATTATTCACTTATTTTAAGCTTCCACAACATCCGTCAGTTTTCACTTATGTATATCTAACTTAATGTTGATATTATTCATAAATATGGTCCTTAGAACATAAATATTAGAATTATTAATGAATAATAAAATCAAGTTATATTGACTACAGTCACTTTTATGCGTTTGTGTGCAGTGTCTTTAGTTTACGAGCGGAAGTAAATGTTTTTCGTACGATGATTACAGCTGCTTTCGGCGAAAGAATTGCTGTCCGTTGTTCTTTTGATGCTTACAATTGTTCAACCATCGTACCAATATCTTTTCGCTGAAATTTATTGAATAGTATACAAATAATATATTGATGAGGTGAATATAACCAAAGTGTGTTAGAAAATACAAATATGTACCTTTTGAAGTGACACGTGACAGTGTTACAGTTTACATAAAAATGACTTTATAACTTAAGCAATGTATAAACTAAGGCTAAAAGTTTACGCTGCACGCTTATTTTATGTTAGAATTGATTCTGATTGCTGCCAGTCGGGTTACGTGTTGAGGGCCGTGACGAAAACGATTTGCCGCTGCTGCCGAGTTGTGGTGGCATCGACCGACGTGCAAAGCGCGTTTCGCTGTGATAAACAAAAATTTTTTAGAATTAATTATAGGATCGAAAATTAGTAAATGAAACATACAGAATCAAAAGTATTCTGTGTAAAAGTGCAGAATAAAATATTGTTATTGTTTAGGAAGACATTTAAGATATGTGGTACATATGTATGTAACTATATTTCTCTGAGGGAACAGCGCATGCAGCATATTTTATTTAGTACAATTTTATTTATACCCCTTCCAAAAAAATTTGAAAACCTGATGCAAATTTTATCAACGGCCTTTTAAATTTGTTAGCACACAGACGTACATATTTTTCATAAACGAAATAAATGTTTTTACGCCTTTTATAAACTGCTTATAATTTAAATAATATTGAATATTCAAGGTACAGTGTTTAAGTTTATGGCCAATAACCGAGAATTCTTAATATTGTTGTGCGTGTGGCATTTATACAAAACATGCTTTACATAACAATTTTTTCCAATATATTATTTAGCATCATTTCAGCTTGTCAAAATTTTTTTTGCGGCTTACCAATTCGGAGCACAGCTCCAAATGTAGAATTGTTGGTATTGTTAAACGTAAGACGGACACTATTATAACTAACACACATAAAAAAAAAAAAGCAACAAATGGATAGCAAGCACTAAGCACAAATTTGGACGCGGTTACACTAATATTTTTCCAATATAAAATATCGAATTCAGTGACAGAATTTAGAAAAAAAAATCAACTGCGGTTTGTCGGCTTGATTGTAGGGCATCTGTGTGTTTTGATTTGTCTAGGCATATACACTTTAAGTTTAGCTTAACGCCGCAATGGAACCCACCGATCGATTTCCATTTCCTCCATGCGTTGAGTCAATTCAATTTTCTGTTGGACGGCCAAACGAAGTAGCTGATTCAATGTTTTCTTTTCCTCCTCAGCGGCTTCTAATTTGCGATTCAGGTCATCTACCTGTGTAACGTATTCCTCGCAGCGCGCAGCAAACATGGCGCGTAAGCCTAAAAGTAAAGGTATCTCGATGAAAAATAATTAAATAATATGGCAATTTAATTTTATCTCTTGAATGATAAGCAACGAAATTTCACTCTCTAGTTAAGTTAGGACGCTTGCCGCAAGACACAAACGAATTCCTTAAAACTCCTTTTCCCTATTCGCTACCTTGTATTCACCATAACTTACTTGAGAATGTTGCCGCATCTTCTTTAAGTATCTTCAGTTCATTGCGCAACTTGGCCATTGTTTCGCTGACCACTGTCTTCTCATTCTCATATTTCGATTTGAGATTTGTGAGTGCCACTTCGGCGGTCTGCTTATTTGATTTCAATACAGTACGCAATGTAGCGATTTGGTCACGTTTGAGTGATAACAGGCCTTTGAGACGTACAATTTGTTCTTGCAACTCTTCGACCTCTTCGCGGTTATATTTGTCAGCTGCAGTAAAAAAAAAAATGTAGAAATACATAATTTATTTTTCTAAAAGATAAAATAAGAAAGAATTGTGCATCACCTTCGGAAACATCTCCGCGCACTTTGTTTTTGTTGTGCTCAATGGTGTGCTCGACAGCGGTTTTCAAATGTTTAATTTGATCACTTACTGTGTCTACATACTTTTTAATTTCCACAGAATCTGCAAGCCCTTGCAAATCTTCAATTGTGTGGGAGCGGGAAGCGAAAATATCGGATTTGAATTGTGACTGTATGGCAGTAAGCGAATCGTTTTCAAAACTGAAATAAAAAAAAGTTAGTACCACTGGGCCACGTTACGAAAGTGAAACTTCTTTTCATTTAAACATTTCCCATTCGTTTCAAAACTCGCAACACCTCTTCGCATGCCCTCTAAACTCCAATCAATCGCTATAATAACAACAACACGCTACATCGCAAATGTAAATTTTTTTCGTCACGAATTTTTAATTCACCACCGGTGCTAAAGAAGTTTCACTTCAACAATTCAGAAAAGATTTGCAAAAAAACTACCATAACACCATATACCTCATGTCATCGCTCTTGGGATCGAGCATTATACGTGTTGGTATCTCGCCGTTGACGGTGCAAACGAGATGATACAGCTGCGCCAAATCATCGCTTAAGGCCACCAGAGTGGAGCGAGCCGAACCCAAACTTTGTCCGGCATTTTGTGAAATACTTGTGAGTGTCTGCACATCACTTTGTAGATCAATTGATTTTTGCTCAGTTGCGAGCAATTTATTTTTCAAATTTGTGACTTCATTGCGGAGAGTGGTCATTGCGTCGGTGTAGTTGAAACCCTTCTGTAGCTCAACCAAATCAGTCTTGAGACCGTCAATCTCCTTCGAAGAGAGTGTGAACCAACTGTTATACTGGGATAGTATATCCAACAGTTGTTGTCGTACATTTTGCTCGTCGTTGCGCCGCTTCACCGCTTCTATGGAAACGTCTTTGATATCCAGCTGTTTCTTCAGCTGTAGTAGAGCATCCACATGTGCGGTGAGGAGCGCCAGACGAGCCATGAAATTTTGTATTTCATTTTGTGATTTATCCAAACTGGTTTGTGCCTCTAGTAAATTCGCTGTGAGTAGAATTTTCTCGTTTTCAATGGACTCCAATTGTTTTTCCAATTTCTTCAGCTCATTTAGATGCACTTCAGAGAATAAATCACATTTTGTGCCATCAGTTGCATTCAACTCTGTGGTCAAATCGGCTTCAAGTCGTTTCAAAGCCAAATTTTCCTCTTCACCATCGCTATTTGCGCTGATATTGTCGTCCATATTGCTGCGCAGATATGCTAGATTGCTTATCTTGTACATGGACTCACGATTCAAATGGCTATCCAATTCTTTCTTGAGAGCATACTTTGCCTCACGTTCGCACTGCGCCAAAAAATAGTTAAACAATGTGTAAAGTTTTTCTTTTTATAAATTTGCTCATATTGAAATATTAAAGCAAAGTTTTCAACTCACCTGCAAAGCCTCCAAGGCTTCTTCCATTTGTTTTTCAGCTATCTTTTTTAGATTAGCCAATTCATCGACTTGTGAGTTTAAAAGTTCCACCTCCTCGGTGAGGCGACGTATCTCGTGTTTGGCACCTTCAAATTCCACCTGTTAGGAAACATTTAATGTTTCACTCCCAGAACCATTTAGTTTCTCAACGATTTCGTTTACCTGCGAACTCCTCAAGCTTGACACCTGTTTTTGCAGCGATATGTTTTCTTCTTCCAGCTCTGTGTATTCCGTTAGCATGCGTGTCTCGCGAAACTTTAGGTCCTTTAACTCGGCCTTGAGTCGCAACTTCTCGGCCTCGTTATCCGACTTGTCGCGCCCAATGTCGGCATTCTCTTGCAGCATACGATCGCGTTCGTTTCGCACTCGCTCCAATTCGTGACGCAGCTGTTTCGTCTCATTTTCCAAGTCTAATATTTTACTGTTCAAACTGGTTTCGAGCTCTGCGGTTTCGCTGAGCAGTGACTCCTCCTGTTCGATGCCTGTTTTTGTGGTGACCTTCTGTGAAGTTTGAAATTTTGCAAGTGCCTGAAATGAACGGTGAGAAATATTTGTTTATGAAATGGTAACATCAGAAAAGTAAAAATATTCAAAAAAAATTATTAAATTATTCATAATTTTTTGATTTATTAGCCAATTATTTTAATGAGAATTATAAATAAAATTAAGTGTCTTATATTTTCATTTCTTTATTTATATGTACATACATATGTATACGTTGATATTTCACCTTCAATCTGAAAGCACATTCAGGGACTTAAGGCCTTTATGGCCTCATTATGCCTTGGAAGATAATAGGAACCAGCGCAATACAAAACAAACAAAGAGGCCTAAGTTCGGACGAAACCGAACTTTATATACTCCTTGCGCGTATTTAATATCGTTTATTGCTTTTTAATAAATAAGTTTTATATGAAAAGTAGGCATGATTTTTATAAGTCAAAATTTTCAACATCTTGTTTAGTTGATTAAAGAAATGAGATGCCAGCGCCTCTGCAGTTTTGTTTTCATTCCAAAGTCCTGCCTATTGTAAGCTCAGTTTGTCGAAATCAACCTTCAAATCACTACTTCAATCACTAACTTGAAGAAACTTCGCTTAAGATAACACACTTCTAACTGGGGCTATTAAAAAGTATCGTGATGTCTGTTTAATCATTTCATACTGTTTTTGATGAAAATAAAGAAGTTCGAAAGTTTCCCTTCTGTGATCTCTGTTGATGAAAGCTTGGGTTGTCTTGTTTTAAGACGTGGATACTGGCATAGAAAATATTGAATCCAAGGCGTATGCATAAGCGCATATACATAAGTAAAATTTACGTTTATTATTTTGTTATTGCTTTTTGGTACTTCAGGATGTCAAAACGAGAGAAAATGGAAGATAACTTCATTCTTTCAACGCCAATAATTAATTGGCCGTGTCTCAACCTCGCGCAACTTTAAAACAAAATTCTCGATCTCTGTGTATACTAGATTTGCTGCCCTATTTAAGGCAACGATCTCTGCTTTAAATACACTGACTTTTTCATCTTTGAACCATCTATGTTAAACAGTAAATTATTATCAAAATTTAACTCAGCTTTGAATGCCAGAACTATCTCAAAATTCAAACGTTATCCCACTTTCTGATTAATGCGAAACGCAAAATAGTTTCATACTGAAATACATACATACTTACTTACATACTTAAAATGCAAGCTGGTGGCGACGGAAGTGATACTGCCTTATCTTGCTCGCAGATATAAAGTATAATCATGCATTTAGCGACTGTATAACTCATATGTTTAGATGTACTAGTCTACATACATACCTATGTATGTATGTACTCAAGCATATGTCGTTTTATAACAGATATCGCAGCGTAATTGGATTTCAAATTGACTCACATTGACAGTGAATAGTGTATGCTGAACGGTGGGCAGGTCACAGTGCCGTCATTGTTTGTTACAAGCGTGGCGGAATTGCAGGTGTGGCACACACTTATTTAGTGGTATAACCACACATGCCACTGCAAACTCCGACATGTGTGTCGACTTTTGTAAGCAATTCCTTACACATAATATGACATTTACGAGCGCTTTATCAACAGATTCCTCTGCTGCATGCCATCTCTCTTCCGGCATGTCACTACACTACTCCTAGCACTATACACCCCGTATCAATATGGCCCCAGCCTCCCAGTCTTCAGTGGCGCATGGCAAACAGCGTGCAGTGCCAAAGTTTATTACATGCTTATTATACACACACACACACATATGCATAAAAAAGTAAACGTACTTGTGTGGGTGTATGCACATAAATACATACATACATATGTATGTATGCCGACGAGTGTACTTGCGTGTTTGCCTGCCTCTTTACAATTACTACATGCAATATTTGTCCAATGTGGCAAATCTCAGCCGGCAACGTTCTGTGTGCTGCGACCCGCTCCTTAAATGCCCATACATAGCTTTTACCACGTGTCTCCACACAGTCACTCACCGCTACTGCAGAGCCTCAACTACCCTGCAAAAATTTGAGGACCAGGTGGTCCACTGGGTCGTAGTTTTAAAGTATGTGCAAATGGACCAGGTTGCATACTAGGAACTTGTTATGCTGACCTGGACCACTTCAAACGTACAAACATGATATATGTGCGGAACACCACCTCTTCGTGACCCATCGGCAATATGATTCGGTTGCCGAATGTGCCATGGTCCAAAAGGAGTAGTTTTCTAGGTGGTCCCGTGTTATGCAGCGGTGGACCAGAAGTGGTCCTATGTTATGTAGCGTTGGACTAGAGGTGGTCAGGTCCAATGACATCGCAATGTTAATGTTACCATTTTTTCTCCATATATTTGGACCATTTTGGTTACTAGTGTTGGTTACAAGGTAGCGTGGTCCTGTACTAATTCTTAACCTAGTCCCACTTTTTGCAGGGTACTGTAAATGGCATCCATTCAAGTGTGCACATTTGTATGTACTTACATACACATACATATGTACATTAGAGTGGTCAAAAAAATTTCATCCTAGAAAACAGGGCACCCCCTAATTTTTTTCCTTTTGATATTTGTAACATCTATACCAACATTCAGTGCTCAATGACCTTGAAATGCGTTGCTGGATCGCTATGAAACTGGCAAAAATATTGGTGATTTTTATAAAAAGCGACTGTTGCCATGACAACTGAAGCTTGCGATATTTTTTTAGATAATTTAAATTTGAAATATTCTTAGGTTACTTACCGAATTTTTTAATTAATATACGTACGCAATACTTCTACAGTAAAATATGGGCATCGGAAACGTAAAGTTTGATACCAGCACCTTTTTCGGTAAGAGAAAAAATTTTGGAAGGTGCCCCAAATATTAGTTTAGTTTAGTTTAATTTACTTTATTTAACACTCGAAAAAAATTTTTTGTGGACCACTCTAATGTACGTACATAGCTTGCTTGCACTTAGCCAAGTTCGTGTGTACCCGCAGTGAAATCAACAGAAACTAGCAAAATAAACCAGTAAACGGCAACAGTTCTAGAGCTCAACCCTCAGTATATCCAGTAAACAAACTTAGCTATTTTTTTTACCAAGTTTGGTCCCCACTAGTTGGACTAGTGTTGCAAGCAACGCTTTTTCGGTAATTAGGGTGTTGTGCAGCTATTTAATGTGGTGAAAATTATTTAAGCACTGGAGAGATTTATTCACATGGAATTGGAGATAGGGCTGATAGATTTATTTTAAATAAATTGTGAATCTGCGAAAATATCTTTTCAGCGGATGAATATACTTTTTAACCTTTTTCCCGAAAATTTACATACAGGCTCGAAAATATGCGAGTAACATTAGGTTTGTATAGTAACTTCTCCAGTAAAACATTGCAGCGAGAGCGTAAAAGCAAAATAGAGCGTAAAATTGAGAAGAAGAAAAAACTAGCAGAAGAGGTTATTGAACACAAAACTAGCAAAAACTTGCAAGAGAACAGTTGTTGCACTGCTTTGACAATCTGCTGTAAACATTTTACTATTTATAAATCAGTTTTAAACTCTTTGCTTTACACACAAGAACTTACACTGTCCAGTACATCATTAATATTATGATTTCCACTTATTTTACTTTTGTTTGTGCCAAGGCGAATCAATATAAGGTGATAGCAGGAGTACAAAAACAAAAATTTACATGTATTTTGTTTTTGCTTTGGCGGCATAAACTGTCAAAACCTGTAAGTGTGTGTAGAAATTCAAACAAAATTTTTCAATTTGATATCAGAAGCCGTGCGGCGAAACAAATACACAAAATCAATTGAGCTAGTAACACCACTTTTTATATATTCTTTTGACATTTATTCTTCTTCTTCTGCTAGCTAATTTCTGATAGTAAAAATTTCACTAGCAAGAATTTGCAGCTCTCTCGTGTTGTTACGCTCTCGATTCAGTGCTCTCTTGCAAATTTTTTGGGTTATCATACACTTTTCCAGTAAAATTGTGCAGGTTCCAGTACAAATTAGTACTGACTATTGGTAACTATACAAACCTATTCAAATATCGTCGCCTGGATGGAAAATTGCCGGAAGCGTCATTTTGACAATTTGTGGTTTTTGGATATCTTCTTTAGTTTCCGACTAATTGACTAAAATTTTTTCGGTTATTTGGTACAAATTGCGTTAGTATTGCTGTCGTACTAAACTAATCAAGATCTTTCAAATAGAGTTATCTGTTCTTCTTTAGTTTCCGACATATTCAGCTTTATCATGAGTTTCATTTTCTAGAACCGGGACACTTTTCGTTTGCGTGTGTTCACTACAGGTGGATGAAAAAATTGTTGGCGAAATTTTGTTCGGGCGAAACTCACGATTAGGCTGATTAGTAAAAAGTATGGTTAATTTATAAAAATTGTTATCACATTTTGGCGTATATCACTAAAACTGACTGCAAATTTTTTGACAAATGTCGTATACGACAAAATTTTATTAAACTCATAAATGGTTGACACTAAACTAAAAAAAATAAGATAATTTAAGAATTTCATGAACTAGTACATAGCATTCTCCGACACTTTGGAGAAAATCTGTAGTCGTGTTTCTGAGAAATTGCATTCCAAACTTCAATCGTGAGTTACCGAAAGTAACTTGTGACAATCTTTTATCCAGGGATCTACATAAATTATAATTGTCATTATTTTCGCAGTTGGAGTATATGCCAGACGAGTAACAGGTATATACATACAAGGATACCTAAATTAGCGCGTTGAACTTGTATATTTATCTCTCCAACGCATTAATTCTATATACGTAGGTACTAGACCTCTGCATGAGTCGATTCTAATTTCAAGCCAAAGAGAGTACAGTTGAATTGTGTATTCTATTTCAAGTTCAAAACACCCAGCGTTTTGAATTTTGTATTTTATGAATATTCATTGCGTTTCAAGTTTTCTAACTTCATATAGAATTATATAAATGAATGAATGAAAAACCTTAAATTTATTCATACTCAAATTTATTACAATTTATGTGATATTTTGTGTTTAGCATCGAAAACGAAAAAAAGAATGGA